GTGTTAAGCTGTACATAAACACTAGCATGTTTGTCATGCAAGAGCGGTTTGGGAAAAATCCGTTTTGAGCTGAAGGTATCACATTGTTGGAAGTAAGGTGATCTAGGATAGCTCGCTTCAGAATGCTTTCCATCACCTTGCACGGCACGCTAGTGAGGCTTATAGGCCTGTAGCTGCCAGGCGATAGTTGGTCATCAGCTTTGTAGATTGGCGTGACAATCGCTTCATTCCAAGCAGAGGGAAGGCGGCCTTCGGCAAGCGACTGACGAAACACCATATGTAAATGGTTTGCCAGTGTGGAGGACGTTTCCTTCAGAATCCTTGGATGGACCCCGTTGGGTCTCAACGCGCAGAATGGGTTGATCTTGTGCAAGAGTTGACGAATGTCCTCCACCGTGAAGCCCAAGTCGTTTAGAGGCTGTTCGTAGTCTCGCTTTGACAAGAGTGGATGTGACGAGGACGCTGGGGCTGAGTATAGACACGCATAGTGTTCTCTGTAAACCGCAGAATCACGGATTGATAAGAGTTGGTGCCTTGCGGTCTGGACCGGGCTACTAGTGTATTAAGACCAGTAGGAGCCTTATGGTTGTATGGTATAAAAGCCATTGCGGCACCAAAAATGTTCATTCCTCGCTTGTTCCACTTGCTTTCTGAATGCCAACAATATGCCAAACGCGACCAGTTCGTTAGAAACGACGGTACGGCCGGTGACCAGTGTGCCGAAACCAAGTACCTCATCCGTCAAGGAAGATGGTTTTGTGATGTGAGGTCTTGTAGGTTCACAGAATATATCTCCAGAGGAACGCAACGTAACTAGGCAGATGGAATACTTCCCCGGTCGTGAGTGTAGTTACTTTGCGGAGGATGGTGGCTTGAATTTCCTGTCGTTTAGTTCCGTTCATCTGCGTGGTTTGTTTGTGAATCATGGCGATGTACTTTAGGCAGTTTTAACGTATCAGTGTGAAAGGGGTGGTTACCACCTGTTGCATGTGGTAACCACCGACTGTAATTGTGTTGGTCGGAGTGTCCTAATCCTTTGTACGAAGTGAGTCACAGGAATGTTACGATGTTGCCGTGGAACATTTTGTGCAAATGATAGCCCGGTGAATGTTGTTCGAACAATTGTGATAGATAATAATAGGTCAAAGTTGCCTAGCATGAAGTCACCAATACCTGACGCCACTGTAATTTTTCTTCTTTTCATGTATTATAGAGCTTCGAAGCGAGGACTAGTAAGCTTAGGGAAGTGACTCATTCTGATAAAGAAGTTTTGTTTGCCTGGTGAAAACGTATATTGCACCTTAGGGAAGTGAGCGAGTATTGGATTCGTGCGACCAGCATCAGAAACCGAAACCAGGAGTACTGGTCGTATCTCAGCGAGCATCAGTTGACCGACCTGAGTACCTGTGCAAGCCATGCTCACAAGCATGCTGTGATCCTTGGTAATGAAACAGCTAACTGTGTCGAATCTGCCAACATGTAAACTTACCGATTTTTCTTTGTGGCTCACCTGTTCGGGCGATTATCAACAGGAATGAACAATTAGAAACAAAGTACGGAAGACCAGTAAACGTCCCACTTGTTTGTGTTCGTTGACTGCCACGTCTTTTTGGATGTGTGGTTAGCGGGCTACCAATCCGTTTCTCATTTGCTTTCTAGATAGAACTGTGGAACATACTATTGATGATTCCGTAATTTTTTTGCAATCAGTCGTGCTAAGATTATGTTTCCCGACAAACGGCTTCATATTTCCTGAAAACACGAGCGCCAGGGCAACCTGGGCATCCAAGCCCTGGTTGCAGACAGGCTTGCGGAGTTGAGAAAAGAGGCGTAAATTTCCTGTTTCGTCTATACCTTCAGAGCGGTCATGGAACGACACTGAGTGCATATAGTCAATACACAAGCGTTAACTTCTAGACGCGGACCATTCTGATTAATGACTTTTTACCCTCAGTAGTAAAAAATTATCATCGTTCTTTGGAGATACCCGTAGGTTTAGGGACAACATGCACGATCACACTTGTCACAAGCAAGCTATGTTAAACTACCTGCAACTGCGTCCTATCTGCCTTCATTAGGTTTGTAAGTTTGTTGACGATCTAACTTCCTAACAGATTCAACCGCACTACAAATCTATGCGTCGCAGCGAGACGCGTGATCGCCGGATTGATATTCAGAATCGAGGCTTTCGCCATGACCTTCCGGGTTGGTCTGCTCCTTTCGTTCAGCGGCTTCTGTGGGAGCACGGTATTCGAATTTTTGAAGCTATGGGGCGTCCCTGATGGATCAAAGCAATCGAGAAATTGAGTTCAGAGTTCAGTTCAAAATCTTGAGCCTCACTGAGGCATCCCAGTGTTTCAGTGGCGCTCGGAAATCATTCCACCAAACTTTTCCGCCAGAGGTATTATTGCTCCAGTGGATAGTGAATTTCAGTGAGATGCAAAAGTATGAATCTAGATTAGGACGGCTTTCAATTCGAGCAAATACGCAACAAAGTTCACAATTTTAGTGCAAAATTTTTTATTCCGCTCGCAAGGGTTCTTCAGCTAAGCGCATTTTGCGGCTGATGGGCCTTGTTTCTGTTCACCCTAGAGTCACATGCGAGAAAATGGTGTAGCACTACTCTTTAAATTCTCACCACGGGTCATTGACCTTGGTAGCGCAGGAACTCAAATAAAAGGGCATCCAGGAGTGCCTTGGACTAGTACCAGCTGCTGCTTCCACAATCGTTAGTGGAAGGTCCATCAACGCACAAGCTGCCCGCAATGAAACAAACGGTTGCGTAATAAGACTGCGCTCTGAGCTTGAGATTCTTCTCGCGTTTACTTGGTGTGTTAGCCGGTTCAACCGTAAAAATTTGTTTCCTGAGCCTTATTCAAACTGGACATAAGTAAATATTAGGTCTCGTAGACGTTGGCGATACTACAGGGAAAATAGTTCAAGCACCGCGATACGCGTTTCATAGTCCACGGGCTTAGGGCTAGGCACCATTTTCGTAGCAGCTTGTTGGACACGCTTACTGATGGTTGCTTCCTTCTCGTGTCAGTAGTGGACGAGTTGGTTGTCGTATTTAAGAAGCGGTCTGACCTAGACACCATAAAATATATGGGAGCCCTTGAAAGTGATACGGGAGTGGGTATGCACTGATTCTTCCGTAGAACAGTTAATGCCTTTGTGGACGATTTCCTGAGGGACGGTGACAGGGAAATTCTTGGGGACAGCCAGATACATGAGCCCTTTCTTGTGTCTATCCCTGGAATGCTTCCTGGTCCATTCTCACCATGTGTTATCTAGCTTCCTCCAAATGACATGTGGGCGCACTTTCCGTTGTTCTGGGGGAAGTGCCTGTCCGAAGACCACTATTTTTCAGCAGCTTCATCCATTCGAGGGCACCGGCATTTGAAACTCAGGGTTTCAAGTCATCCATAAAAGTAGACATGGACCTGAGTAAACGTCTGAAAGGCCATTGATATAGATTAGAAACAGAGGTGTTCCCAAAAATGCCCTGAGTAACTGCAACGGAGACCGGCGCCCGAGACTAGTAAATCGTGTCTACTTTCTCTGGGAATGTTTTGTCCTATAAGAACGCCTTGATTCAGCGGAGAATTTTCCATTGAATCAAGCAAGACTCGAGTTTGAGGAGGACCAAGGGCGTATATGACTCAATCGAATGCCTTTGGGAGGTCGAAAATGTGGCATCCGATATGAGGCCTTCATCCGCAGCTTGGGTTGAAATGTTCATAAATACGAGTGTGTTCTTTATGCATGAACGATCTAGGAGGGATATGTGAGAACCTGGGGATACCAAACAGCTGTTGGTGAGGTGATTCCAAATGGCCCGCTTCAATATACAATTCAACAAAATGCAATTCAACACCAAATCACAATGCAATCCAAGTCACCTTAGTGAGACCAGCGGGTCCGTAGCTGCCGGGCTATGGTCGGTTACCACTTTTATAGATTGATGTAATAATCGCTTACTTCTAACTAGAGAGAAGATTTCTTCATCGAGCAACTGACGAAATACCAGGTGGAAATGCCTTGCCCATGTGGTCGACTCATCCTTCAGCTACTTCGATGGACCTCTTCTGGTTCAACGCGATTAGGGTGTTTCTCTTCTTAATGTGTTGACGAGTAACCTTCTCAATAAA